AAATGAGTTGGAGTGTGAGGAATGGCACAATAATTCATCCTGAAGGTGTTGAGCACCATGCCAGGAGGATCCTCTTCCTGCAGAGAGGAAATTTCATTTTAAAAGTGTTTCTTTTACCTTTTTTTTTTCTTTTTTAACATTTGTTATTTTAACCCAGAGGCCGTAAAGTTCTGAGCAGCAAAAGACTCTCTGAACTTCCCACCATGTGAGTGTCTTCCAATGGCCAGGCAAACACTTGACCCCTCATTTCCTTTTCCCATTCTGATATTTTAACCCAGAATTATTTTATTGCCCACTGTCACCAAAAAAAAAAAAAAAATTAAATTTAAAAAAAAAAGGAAGTGCCTAAGTAGTCATTTATTAACAGTTATAAGTATCATTAGGTAGAAAGATGTGGTAAAATATAGATTAGAGCGGGAAGAGCGGAGGATCCGAGTGCCATTTTTCCTGTTCAGCGTTGTCATTACACATCCCGGCGTGGCGGATCACAGCCATGATTAGTGGCATCAAATGACTCCTGAAAAATGATTATGTGCCATTAAAACCATCAGTCTGCCTGAAACCAGCACAAACAAATGGCCGTGCCGGGCATGAGGCAGCAGCTCCGGGGCCGCGGGATGTGACGGGAATCCCGGAGCCGCGTCGGGTGGGGGCTGTGGGGGGCTGGGATGGGGTGGCAGTGACAGTCGGGGGTCCTGGGGGGTCCATGGGGGTGGCAGGGCGGGATCCGGTGGCAAGTGGCTCCCCCCACAGCAGGCTGTGGTTGTGGGGTGCCCCTGCTCCAGCTTCCTCTTTCCCTTTCGGCAGCTGAGGCTCCGCAATGGGGCCCGGGCAATCCCCTCACTGGGGAAAAGGCCTCCCTGCAAGGGCTGTGGCATCAGCCCCAGCACCCCAAACCATCACCCCAAACCGTTATCCCAACCTATTGTCCCCACCCAAACGTGTCACCCCAGATCCGTCACCCCGTTCCATAACCCCGACCCATGACCCCAATCATTCATCCCAACCCATCACCCCATTCCATAACCC